AACTTGCCTTGGTTGAGATTCTGTTCCAGTCTGTACTAAAAACGTTTATGTTGCTTAGGTAAATCAGAGATGTAGCACTTCCCGGGGATTATCATTATCTGCAAAACTGATAAAAATCTTATCAACCAAACAATTTCAAAAGATGGACCTTTCTTCTTCAGGGGCAAACTGGGAATGGTGGTGTAACTGGATGAGTGATATATAAATATATAAAGCATATTCTTTTTAAATTTTTTTCAATATACTGTTGTAAGTGTCTCTCATTTCTGATATAACACAGGCAGAAATGAAAGCATTATGTAAAAAAGGTGTTAGAGATGTTTTGCTTCAGAAATGGTCAAGAAAAACTATACTTAAGTGTTGATAAAGTAAAATAAAGTTTACATGGAGACTGACTGAAAAAGAAATGTTAAGCATGTCAATTTCTAAAGACAAGCATGGAAAATTATCATAAATAAATAGTAAGTATTAGACATATTAGGGGTAAACAATGAGAGTTCACACTACATGAAAAAATAAATAACAAATAAAAATTATTTTTCCAACAGAGAACAAACCAATGATCGGAGATCACTGATTCCAGGATCTAGATTTATTCCACAAGGTTCAACATAATTTAGATTAACAATCCAATAAGCTTCTTTTAACTCTCTATTAGCTTCATTTTTAAAGTCAGTTTCAATGCTGATGAGAGTAACATCATTAATAGAATGACAGAATTGGTTGAAGTGTTGAGCAACAGGAAGAACTTCAGGATATATCTGTTTAAGGCGATCATTCAGTTGTAGTAGATGAAAATGTTTTTCAGAATGCTCAAAACATTCCTGAATTTAAAGTGATAGGTAATAGCAAGAGGAATTATATTTGAAACTTTAATATTACTCTGATTTAGAATGTTTTTTCGGATGAGTGTTCTTAGCTTTTTTGATTTGTCTGTCAATTTCATTATCTTTATCTCCTATTTGTAACATGGTTGTTTTAGATTCTTGGTGTGTTTTCTGTAATCTTTTTCATCTGAACAGATTTTCTTTATTCTAAAAGCTTGACTGTAGGTAATATTCTATTTAGTGTGAGTGGGGTGATAGCTTTTACAGTGAAGATATTGTGGTCTGTCGGTAGGTTTTTTTGTACAAGTCAGTGTAAAAGAACGATTTGTATAAGTTATTTGTGTTTTATGAAAATTGCAAAATAATTGACAGATTAAGATATGATGGCAAGAAAGGCTATCGATTATGCATTAGGTATTCTTATGTACAATAATTTAGTTGTACTTGAGAGAGTAATTGAATGTTTGCAACCCTGAGATGGTAGTTAAATGACAGAAATATCTTGGAGAAAATTTATTCTTTCTGAAGATGACATAGGACAAACATATAGCATCTTCAAATGATGTCAGTCATAACACTGCATACACACTCAATAGTAAAAAGAATGCAACAAATATGTGTAATGGGTGCAAGCTGCATCATCTGCCTTTTTGAAGAGCTTAAATTTTTGAATACCCACACAGATGAAAAACATCATGATTTACTGAAACGATTGCAGGCACAAATTTTATATGATTCATCATCTTTGAGTAATGAATCAATGCCTTCAAATCAAGACACTGATGTACAATTTTCTAGTTCTGAAGCTCTAATCGTATTGGACTATAAGATGATATTCGACCCTGTTAATTTTATGGTGAAAACTATTGAATATGACTGTAAAAAAAAAAAGGTTTTTCTTAGCATGGCACCATAGTGTATATGTGCAATGATGCAGATGCAAATACTTGTCAAACACGCTATTAGGTCTATATTTTTCATCAAGAGATTCTAAGCAAGATTAGAGAACATGCTTTCCATATCTGCATGCATCCTTCACCAACTGAAGGCAGATAATCTGCACATTTATGCTGCTCATGTCCAATCAAATAATGCACAATGCTATCAGAATGGAAAACTTTTATATGAAATGTACTTGATAGCGAAAGAGTTGGGGATACAGATACAATTGTTTGTTCATACAAAGACCCAGGTTGGAAAAGGATCAATTGAAGTGCATTTTTCTGTAGTAATGCCACATATCATGTGATATATGAATATCGACAGCAATGTTGTATCCCCTAAAGAACTGATTTGTGCATTGAATGCAAATGAAGAAATGAACAAAGACTAACCTGCTGGTGAAACAGAAATGGAACCCCCCGAAAAAAAGTGATAGCAACAGTGACAAATATACACTGTTTGAAGGAGATGAAGATGGCAATGTCAATGCTGAAGACAAGTGATCAACAATGTAAACAAAGAAGAACAATTTAACACCACAGTTTGGTATATTCAGGTGTCAATATAGGTCCACAGAATAATGGGAGATTCAACCAAGATGTTTACCTCAAATTATTTCTGAGTTCTCTGAGTAATTGAGTGCCTTTAGTAGAAGTCAAACGAATTAGAAAGTTTCAAGGAAAGACCCACAAAGAGAAGCAATGTCAGTTTAGAAGATTTTGCTATTGAGCCTGAAGATGAAAATATGTGCCTTGCATGCCACAAGTACATCAAATCTGGGAAGGTTAAGACTTCACATGTGCAGACCTGCAAGGAATCAGCATTATATTGTGATATGCGCTATCCAATAAGTGATTAATCTGATTGATTCAGGTGAAATGGCCTTTCTTGGTTGGCATGCATCTTCTGATGTAGATGAAAAACACACCAAAGTTGGATTCTGTGGAATGGTAAGACAATACTTCAAAATATGTGACAGAATCATTCCAAAATCATATGGTGAAGTCTGTGGCCAGAAGTATGTCCCAAGATTTTTAGACAATGTTGTAGAAATGTATAAATGAGGTCTCAAAGATAGCTGAAACAGAATGGGTTGGGTCCTGGAAGAATGACAGAGGAGCTGATCCAAAGGTATGTGAATTGATTTGATATTCTTTCCAATACTGAATCATGACAAAAAATATCTTCTTTGACAGCTAAGTACCAGAAGACTAGAAATATGTTAAGTAAAAGAAAAAATGGGATTACAAAAGAATATTTGGATGTTATCATTTCCTTATTTGTCAAGTACCAAGGTAATGTCAAGCCCACAGAATTGTTGAAAGTTTTCAAAACGCAGTGCAGTCACTCTATCAACAATCCAAATTTTCAAATGGATAAAAAGATCAAGGCAAAGATGGCTGCAATAAAATCAAAGTTGAAAAGCACTGGAAAATTGCCAGAAAGGTCTGTAGAACATGATATTAGTCAATAATCATGCTTTTCTCTGTGCAATACATCTAAATCTTTTTAAAGAAAAGCACTGATGATCTTTTCTCAACATGAGAAGTCTAGATATGCATTAAAATGACCTTTCCAGGATAACTGGGTTTTGGGCATCACCAGACTCATACTACTAACTGTTACCCTGGCTCATATGACAAGTGTTAATCACAGTGTATAAAAATATAGTATTTTAGTAAAAAAAATTATATAGATCTATGTATATGTAGATCTTATGAGTGTCAAACCTTGTTTAAAACTTTTTTATATGTTGTTTCCAAAGAATTTGATTTTATTCCTTCTTCAACATCAGTTGTCCAAAAAGTCTGAGCTCCAGCAATTACAACTTGTCCTGGCCAGCAGAGTACCCATTTAATCCACTCCTTCTAAAATTTAGAAGAAACACATAAATAATACTCCAATCTTAATTAAGTACATTCAATAGATAGATAACAATTATATTACATAATAATATCATAAACAGCTCTGTTCAAGAAAGTGTAATCCATAAACAGAAACAGTTAGTTATATTAATTAATAATTTCACAAATATTTTGGTCACATATCACAATGAATAAGTTTGTAAGTCGTCTAATCTTATATGTAATCAATGGTGTAAATAAAGGTCACTGCAAATGTAAAGTCACTGCTTTTTAATATAATGACTGTTATGCACATAATTTCAAAAATGAGATGTCTATACATGGTTTCCTTACTATATTCACAGAGTTGTTTTCAATATCACTCAATACAACACCACAGATTGGTATTTTCAAGTAAAACTGATTTTCCTTAGAAAAGTCAATATAGGTCTGTAGAATAATGATAGATTCAAACAAGATGTTTCCTCAAAGTAATTTGGAGTTCTCTGTGTAACTGCATTTGTGAGAAGGAAAGAAAGAGACTAAACTCATCTGTACAAAAATACAATGATCAATCTTTAACGGATCATAAATGACTTTATTTCCAAATTTACTTGGTTGAGATCCTAATTCAGATTGATTAGCACTATCCACATAATTGGTCATTCCCATTTAAACATAAATAGTTTTAATCTTGAAAAATCAACTGACCTACCATTAGAAGATATTAATATAGAAATAAATATACAAAGTACAGTTTAAAGCCATACATTCCCCATGGGGAGACCAAGTGTTATCTCAAGGGGATAGCAAAGAGCAATGATACTTCAAATGAAAGCAACTTAATGCTTTTCTTAACTAGGTGTTATGTTAAAGCTATTTACTAAAAATTCTATATTAATATAAGAAGATAGAAAATTAATGGTAAGCTTGTTTACTATAACAAAAATTTACTGTGAGAACAGAAAAGCAAAATAAACTATATTGAATTTGAAATTAAATGAATGAAAACTGTATTTACTTAAATTTAAAATGAACTAAAAATAAAAACTGTAGAAAAATCAGATATTAACTGAAAAAATACAGCTCGTCTTGGTTCCTTTGACACAGACGTGAATCTGTTTGAAAATACCCAAATTACATTTAAAATTCAGAAACTTGGATTACACATATCCAGAAATACCTCTACTCTATGTGACAGTTGCACACATATAACATAAAGTAGGACACAATATAGCTATCCCATGAAACATTAGAGTGTTGATGACCACACTTAAAGAAAATAACACCTAAGGCTGACCAGATTTAGCCCAAATTATAACTCTACACATATTTTAAAATCTTGAAAATATGAAAAATATATATACTATATGATAGTGAAATATGTGGTATTTGAATATTGAGATACCAGTATATATTTGCAGTTCAACAAGTTAATTACTATAAAGAAGATAACTAAATAAAAGCAATAGCACTAAAGCCTTAGAAGAAAATGATGCATAGTTAAATAATATATTAACATATCAAATATAATTTACTGTACACTAACAATCTGATAATCTGCTAATGCATCTGCAACAATAAGTTGTAAGCTCTCTTTCATAAGTTCTTCTACTTTCATAAGCCATTCTTCAACATTTCCCTTAGGATAAAGATTTTTTCTGAAACAAACTTCTTCTCCCTCTGCTGAATACATAGCTGTAATATGCAAGTCTTCTTCAAACCTCAGCTACAAGGACAAGAAACAATTTATCTAATCATTTCAAGGTTTTATTTACAATGTGACTTTAATTAGCAAAATTTTATATAGAAAAAACGTTTTAAAGTTGTTTACAATAATAAAAGTGTTTGAGCTTAAGACACATCCTAATATTTATTCTGAACTGAGTAGAAATTATTTGATTATTTTTCCTTAAAGGGTCTTATTTTAATAGCACTGAAATAATTTGAAAATTATAAATGTATAAAACAGTATACTGCAGTATCTGTAAATGTTTCTGCACATCTTTTATGACTAAATACAATTATCAAAAACTGATACAAAATTTAAACCATTTGAGACCATTTGCTAAATATAGACTGACTTAATGATCTAGCAACGTACAAAGAAAACAAAAATTAAAATAGTTACCTATTCATCAGATAACTTGAAAATTTATTTGTAGGACATAAAATAAAAATACTATTTACACAAAAATATTTAAATGTGAATAAAAAACATACATACATACACTTTATTCAACTCATTACATCAAAAATGAGAGTAGATTAACCTACAGAAAAGCAAGTAAATTAAATTCATGCTGATAGACCAGGCAATGAAATAAATAACAGCCAGTAAACAGAGAACAATAGAAAAAAGCATTGCACAATACAAGTAAATCTTGACTCTAGTTCTCTCGAAGTTGGGATAAATCTTCCAGGAAGCAGCAAAAACACCCTCACAACTTTCACTCTCCTATATAGCTGACCAATCACAAGTTCTATTGTAGGAATCCAGAAATATCTCTACTTCATGTGATAGGTGTGTAGCAGCTTCACATTTTGATTGATGTTAGATAAAATACAATTACCCCATGAAACAGCAGATAATATCTTTGACCAACTCATGTTATAAAGAGTAACACTAAGTGCTCATATCACACTTGCTTTGATAGAATTTCATGAGTACTTTACTTATGTGCATTCAACATCTATACCTCAAAGATGTGTTGTGGAATATTTTATTAAACTCTATAACAAGTAACAAAAAACAATATAACATCAACTTACTCAATTGAATATAAGAAACTGTCCATAAGAAAACATTTTCAACTTTATAACTACATAAACATGTATCTTTTTTCTCAATTTTAAACATAATTTTTTAACATGAAGCAGTAGTTTTATGTGATAGTAAACAGTTTTTATTTCATGAAAATACTAGTTACAATCACTTTGTTCAAGTATTAGCAAGGTTAGTGTTAAATTTATTAAATACTAATGCTTGAAATATATTTTTTATTTGGACTTAATTTTAAATATATCAAGAAAAATTTTATAAGAATGGCAAAAAGATGAACTTTACAAATTCTGTTAGTTACCTCACATATGGTAAATAAGAAAATATATTACATAAAGCTAATGAAATATTTACTTTTGCAATATTCTCAAAACATTTGTGCAAATGAGGTTGGACAGCCATAGGATCTCGTGTCTGTGACAAAATTTCAAGAAGTTCATCGTCACTAAGGAAATAAAATCGTGGAAATGCCATACGTTTGGTCTCCAGATAGTCAGTCAGTCCTTTCTGGACATATTCTAATAACTTATTACACTCTTGCAAATGATTCAAGAGAGTAGTGTTAGAACACAACTTGATGACCTATGGATATAACAAATAAGATTTTATCAGGATGATACATATTCTTATAAGGATAACAAGAAATGGGATATATATATATTCAGTAATACTAACTTATTTTCAGCTAAAAGCAACATCTTATTAAACTTATCATTTATATTAAAATTGACATGAAAACTAATGTTCATAATTTTGGCATAAGATTATCAGTAGGTCAGTAAAACTACACTCCATCACATTACTTTAAATCCCAATACATTCAGACAATTATACTTTGATGTTTTGAATGTTTCCAACAAAATTTTCTATTCTACAAATAATGTGTTTTAAGAGATGAAAGTCAGTACACACAGACCAATCTTGAATATTTTTTTTACATAGTTAAAAGTAACTTCCAAGCCATGAAGTTTTTATTTATTGTGGGCTGAAATTTAAGAATGTAACTGACTTTTAATAAAAATTGTATTAACAGTATTTAGATCTTTTAATGAAACTGGAGTTCCACAATATTCTAATTGATAGTCACCAATTACTGGGATGTGATGTTTAAACTGCTGAAATTTTACATTCTGTGCACTTTTACTGAGGCTAAGTTGCTCATTTTTATGATGTTTTTTCAGTTGTTGTGTAAACTTATGCAGAATTTAACACTCCAGGTACTATCCTAAAAGTTTATTTCAGTTACATACATTTCTTTAAGTTTTCAAAATGTATTTATTTTTAAAAATATTGATAATAGTTATACAAACTAATAGGCCTAACATTAGTAATAAAGTTTACATAAATTGAATGTTTTTTATACTCTTAATTTGTCCATTTTGGTTTTTTGTTTGTAATTAAGCACAAAGCTACACAATGGGCTATCTGTGCCTTTCCCACCACGGTTATCAAAACCCGAATTCTAGCATTGAAAGTCTGCAGACATACCGCTCTGCCATTGGGTGGCATCCATTTTTGATTTACAAAGTGTATTATGTATATTAAAAGGCTAAAAATTCAAGGTTCTTGTGTAAATAAATATATAAAACTTAAACAATCAACGTTTTCAAATTGTGTACTTAAAAATGTTGATCATTTGGGTGTTTTAATTATTGTGTATTTTATATAACAAAATAAAAAATTTATAAAAATCAATTGAAATAACTGCAGAAATAAACCTGAGGAATACTATTGCATCCTTTCACAATTTTCCTCCAGGTTTTGTCAACTGTCTGATAACGCTTATTTTCAACAGGTAACTGACGAACGATGTCTTCAGAACTGAATATTGGTTCTAGATATAACCAGGCCTGCTGACATTTAAGAAGCTCTTCAATCACTTCCTATTAATAATACAGTCATATAAAAAAGTGAATAGAGAGCACTAAAATTTGTGATGTTTCAGCTTTATACACAAGGTTCTTGAATCACTAACAAAAAAAGAGAATATATTAGCTTTGTGTATGGTAAATTGAATATTTCAAGAGTACTTCAGTGCATTTATAGATTTTAACTGGTGAGTATTTCAACTATTACAGTTTTAACTTATTTGAAACAAAAAAACAGTTACTGAAGATGAAAGTTCAAGCCTTTAAATATAAATCCTGGAATAAAAACATTCTTTAAGGAAAGTAATGCAATGTAATAATTTAACAGATGCTGGGCTGACTACAGTGAAAAATATACATTTATCCTTTATTAAACCTTAAATCTATAGATTAACTGATTCGTACATGAATTAAAACATCATATTGTGATTTACCAAAAATAATTTAAAATCTCTGATTTGACTATTAAATTTACAAAATTATGTCTATCACAATGTTTATCTACTGCATACAAGTTTCAGTATAGTGAAGATAAACTTAATTTACAAGATGTTTGGAAAGGATCCAAGATCAAAAAGAGTGACAAGAAGTATGCCATAAAGAAGAGGAAGGTGAGAAAAGCTCCTGGAAATGATACCATAGTAGCAAAGATATTGAAATATGTTGAATATGAAGGCTTAGATCAAGCAGTGAAGTTATACAATTTTATATATATAACATTAAACACATAAGAAAATATACCTTTGCAACTGCCAAAGGAAGATGAAGCTTAAAATTATGGTGATTTTTGAATGATCAGTCTTATGAGTTAAGTAATCAAGATTTTTCTTAATGTGATACATGAAACAACAAAGAAAAATTATGGATAGTGAGAAAAATAAAGAGCAGTATGGTTTTCAACAAAGTAAATATATGTGAAAAGCTATATTAAATATAAGATTACTTTATTCACTAGCAAAAAACTTTTGATTGAATACAACACACGAAACATATTGTTATGACAGCGGAAGTAACGCGATGCTGGGAGCATGCGCGCTGGAGTTTCTTGAAGGATCATGAAGGCCTGAGTGCAATCCAGATGCCCTCTTTTTAATATATATAAGCCTGGTGAGAAAAGCCAGCACAATCGAGATAGAGATAATTAAGCCAAGCGAACAGTAGGCACCATAAGTAAAGTGTGTGAATCACTGTGATTTATAGCATGTGTTATAAAGGTTGTTAAGTTTAAAGTGACTCTGGAAATTCTGCCTATTACAAAAAAGTTGTATCAAGAAAGAATAAGCTGGTTTAATCAAGGAGGGACTTGTATTGCTGAAGTTCCTCGGAAAGAATTTATACCGGAAATTAACAAACAAGCAGATACGCAACAAATTGGTGTCAGAGAGTGGGACGGAAAAAAAAAAGAAAAGAAGAAGATGCAAACGGGAAGTGACAAATCAAACTACAGCTTGGCAGATTTGATGGCAGCAATACAAGAACAGCAAAAGAAACAAGAAGAACGAGAAAATAAACAAGAAATGAGACTACAGCAGTGGTTGGAGGAGAAAGAAAATAAACAAGAAGAGAGACTACAGCAGTGGCAAGAAAACCAGCACCAGTGGTAACTGGAACAAGAAAGGAAACAAGAAGAATGAGAAAAGAAACAGGAAGGAAGTCTCCAACAGTTGCGGGAAAGCCAGCAGCAACTACAGGAAAGTCAGCAACAGTGGCAAGAAGTACAAATGGAAAAGATTAGTAAATTTCAAAGTGAATTAAATACATTAAAGGACAATTTACTGTCTTTTACACAGTGAGGATATATTAGCCATGGACCTTATCAGTTCCAGACAACAGGAAGCCCCTTCCAGACCCCGCAGCTAAACCATGACAGGAAAGACTGCTACCCAGAAAGGTTGTTGGAACTGTGGAGAGCAGGGACATGTGAGGAACCAGTATAAGAAGAATACTACCAATAAGTCAGCCTCAGAGAAACCAGTAGTGGTTGGTGCTGAGGGACACCCACCAACCACCATTGTGAAAGGAAGTTGTATCACTGAAGTTCCTTGGAAGGAATTTATAATGGAAATTAACAAACAAGCAGATATGCAACAATATTAAAATCTGCAAATAATTAATCTTTAAAAAGATTTGCAGTCCATGTCAGAATTCAAAGAACATTAACAGATTATGTTAACACTAGAAGAGGAGTAAGGAAATATTGCATTCTATCTTCAAGCAGCTATAACACTTATAACGTTGTTGCTCTGCAAGATGATAAATATTCAACCAGCTCTCTTATTATATGTGGTGTAAAAAACCATCTGAGGTAACTGTCTATCATGGTATTTAAATAGTTTTATTTTCTTCATGCTTTGCCCAGTCTTTATAATTTCTGTCCCAGTGGTGCTTAATGTTTATTCCACATGAGGGGGGCTTTGAGATCAGGTGGTGATCAATTAGCTCAATGGTGGCTGTGTAGCACCTGTCCACCTATGACTGTCTCCTGAAGCACCTTCTAGGCAATCCCCTATTTGGTTGGGGTGTCTGTGTTGTTGTGTAGTGTTGGAATGTCCCAATTGAAAAGGGCCGTGATACAATAATGCCCTAAGGAAGAATTTTGCTTGTAAGAGCTGTTGGTGTTCTGTGATGCTGTTGACGCATGTGAGGTGTAATAGAAACCTTATGAAGGTGACTGAAGTACATCATTTGGCCAGCCTTAGACAGGTGTTTTGTATTTTTTCAGTCTTATCTAGTTGCACAGCACTCATATTGATCATTAGCAATTCATAATCCAGAATGGAACTGGTAAACAGTGGTTCAATCTGATGAGGAAGCCTTCTAGCTATAGCCTTCTCAGGGTACATGCCCATGTTGTTTTGTAGGAAAGTGATTCAATAGCCTTTAAGATGGGAGTGATCCTTCATGGGATTGGGTAAAGATTTGATAAAAAGTGTCAGGCGATGCTCTTCAGCTCTGTTTCCTGCAGTAACTTTCAATGTATTGATGCCTTTGATAACTCTGGTTATTACTGTGTTAATGTGACTGATGAAGTTGAGTTGTCTGTCAGAGTTACTCTCAGGTACTTTATGTTTCTTCCAAAGGGATAACAGTGCTCATAAATTATGGTTTCATGAATATTCAACCAGCTCTCTAATTATCTGTGGTGTAAAAATAAACTCATCTGAGCCTATAATAGGTGACTGTATACCATGGTCTTTAAATAGTTCTTTTTTCTTCTACAGCCTTTAAGGTGAGAGTGATCCTTCATGGACTTCCGTAAGGATTTGATAAAAGTATGGCTTAGGAAGGACTGATGACTATTTCTGTGTCAGTGCACCATTTGCCTGCTAAGGAATGGTTCCACCTTGCTATTTATTTTCAGGTTTGTTACACACTAAAATATTGTCAGCAAAGATTAGCACATGCCTGGTGAGACTGTAGAGGCAGGCTAGATTCAGGGTGTACATGTTAAAGAGGACTGGCAAAAATGATGATCTTTGAAGCAAATCAGTATTGATGATGATCTAAGCTTAATGCTAGATCTTCTAGTAGCCAGTGCAGTTATGACTTATCTTAAATATCTTTTTTTTATAGCAATAATGGGCAGCTTGATTCTACTGTAAGCATCTTTAAAGTCTAAATCTAATGCCAAAGAGTTCTGACCAGCTTCAGAGCCTTCCCATGCAACAGCTGTAAATTCAGCAGCACTGATCCATGTTTCTCTTCCACTGTAATAACTACCTAATGATGAGAGTAGCAGTGGTTCAATCTGATGAGCAAGCTTTCTAGCTCTAGCCTTCTCAGGGTACATGTCCATTTTCACATGTTGTTTTGTAGGGCAATGATTCAGTGGCCTTTAAGATGAATGATCCTTTATAGGCTTGGGTAAGGATTTGATAAAAGTATCAGTTCTTATTTCTGGTATACTACCTGTTACCTAGCTACATTGATACTATGACACTAACTTCAAGAGCAAACTTCTTAAAAGTGGAAATTCTTACACCAACTGGACCTGGAGCCACATTTTTTTTATGTATTTATGGCTCTATGTATATCATCCAAGATAAATATGACTTTTATATCTGCTTTTAGTTATAGCTAAGATAGGTTCTTCTGTGTAATACTTGACTTCAGTGGTGGAAAGATGCTTGAGGGTATGTCATCAGAAAGTTCAGCATCCTTTTATGGGTTTATAGATTGTTTTATATCACTACGTTTTCCAGTGCACTTCACAACTGACATTATGCTCCATTTGCTAAGGTAGGGTTAGCAAAGGCAAGATCTATATTGAAGTCTCTTGCATCTTGATATTCAACAGTTCTTGGTGGTTCACCTGAGTTTAGCAGTATACGTTTGGAGGATTAGTGGATATAGAGAAAAAATCAATAAAAGACATAGAGTTTAATATAAACATCGAGAAGATCAAGAGAAATAAGCCTCAAAATTTGTTGTTGCTCAACAGTGAAGGTTACAGCACTCTTTTGTTTATCTTAGGCATATACTGACCAAAAATGGAAGATGCAAGAATGCAATTAAGGGAATAACAGAGATTGTTAGATTGGCTTGTTTTATGAAAAAAATTCTAGCCAACATAAAGATTACTATTAAGAACAGATTGAGATTTACTCATTGTTATTATATACAATAAACAATGATGTTTAGAATTGAAACTTGAACCATCAATAAGGATATGTACAAGAGACTGGAAACATGAATTGTAAGAAGAATGCTGAGAATCAACTGGGTGGAAAAGATAAAACAAATGTAGAAGTTTTTAAATTGGTGGATGAAAAAAGAAAGATAATGAACAGTATAACCAGAAGAAAGTGAAAATACTTCATACGTGTTGTAAGGTACCTCAACTTACAAAATACTATTCTTACTAGAAAGATTGAGTGGAAAAAGAGGAAGAGGAGAAAAGAGAATGAAATAAACAGACAATATGAAATAATGGACTGACAATACTGCAGGAGAGCTCTTAAAAAAGCAGAAGATAAGAGTTGGATGGTAATCCATGATAGCTAACTTCTGTATCAGAGATAGCACTTATTGATTGATACATTATTCAGCAAACAAGTTACCACAATAAATAAAATAGTAAAAAGTACTGACAAGATACCTGAGAAATCTTTAGTTTTTCTTCCCACTTTACAACTCTTTCTTCAAATGGTTTCTTATATGGAGAGAATATCATTGTCTGTGTCATAACAATGTGATCATCCATCAGCTGCTGGATCTCATCTGAACAGTGAATTATATATGTTCCTGTTTCTTTGTAAGGAAGAACCTCAAAACAAATTGGCTCCCACTCTTCTTCCATCTTGTTGAGAGCCTAAAGTTAGAATCCAACTTCAAGTAATAAATTTACCTATACTACTATTTTTCTCTTTAATGAGCTATTGTCTAATGGCCGATAATACATTCACATATAAAGCTCAAAGCAGGAAAATAACTTCTTGGTCACATTTATCTTTTAAATATAAATAATTTCACAAATATTAACTTATCTTCTGATTAGAGTTGTAACAGGTATATATATATATGCTCATCTAAAACCTTAACAAGAACCTTGAAAAACCAGATCAACAAATCATCTTAGTGTTTAAATCAATATTTAAAATTACAAGTTAACTGAAAATGCTTATGTTATAAAACATTATTTGTAAAAAAACATTAAATATAAAATAGTTCTCAACTCAACCAAGGTGATTATATAGCTTATATCAAAATATTTATAATATACAAATAAACAGAAGAAAAGGTTATGATACCTACTTGTTCAATTGCGTATTCATTTCCAGCAGTCTCTGCCATGTTTTCAAGTATTTCTAAGTTATTGTGGAGACACATTTCTAAGCAGTTATTAAATGTAAGTGAAGAAACAGAAACAATGTTCATTTGTAAGTCGTCAGACAGCTAAAAACCAGAAAATAAGTCAATCAGCATCTTGATACTTTTAGTAGTTATAATAACCTATAAACTGTTAATAGTATTTATACAGAACAAGAACAAATTAAGCTTAAGAAAAAGCAATACTAAAATATGAAGTACATATTAAATACCCCAATTCAATAGCAAGAGATCTTCTAACTAGAATTTCCCATTATGCCATTCAAATAATGGTTTCCCTATCAGTGATCCACATAATATTGCATTTGGAAAAATGAGTAATCCTGATTAGTTTCACATCCTCTTTATATAAAAAGTGTAAAGTGTTTATATATATCTTTATTTTGAACTGAACTTAGTACTTATAAATAAAACATTTTGAAAAATAAAGATATATAAATATTATAACAACATAAACATATAGGCTTATCATTGTGTATGAATGATTATAATCCTAAAATTAAATGTACTATTTATATAATGTGTTGTGACAAATAACATTAGATACCCAAATAAAATATAATATATAGTAAATTTTATAAATGCTGAAAAATATGAGCCTTTTTAAGCAAAAAATAAAGAACAGATGACTAAAATCATTATGCATAACAAAAACCTTTTCCCAGTGTCGAGATTTTAAACCAGGATTACGAAGAGCCTGTATCATTGGAACATAAGGCTTGAAATTTTCTACTTGTGTATTTATTGTATTTATCACTGCAATCAATCCTGAAAAATAAAGAAAACATGAGAAATAATTCAAAAAGGGATATACTTTATCATTGTAATCTAAAATTTTTTAAAACTTGTTTTGAAAAATATAATGGCAATTTGTTATTCATATAATAATTTATAGATAACCAAAACTAACTTTGAAAGCAACAATGTCTTAACTTTTAAAATTCAACCTCCTAGTGTTATTTACATCTCTTTCCAAATGGTGAAATATTTTTAACATTAATCTTTAAATATAAATTTAAAACTAATACTTTTAGTTTGACTCAATCAGTAAACGAAATCATGATACTTGTCAAAATCAAAATTCTAATTTCAGGAAGTATTCTACAAAAACGTTAGATAAAATATTAACCTTTTTAATTAACATACATCTCAGTCTCTATTTCAAATCAGTTTAGATATTTTTTATTAATACAACACAGTAATTAAACAAAGTAGTACACATTGTACAGCTTAATATATATTATTTTAAAGACTATAATATAAAGCACAAAAGAGATCTCTTAAAAGAATGGCAAAACATACACAATAACAGGTGAGATTGAGTAAAAATATCAAATAATTAGCAATATATATATATATATTATAAATCTACTAAATATGTTTGTACTTCAACAAAACATTTAATCTAAAAAGTTACTAATTAAATGCTTTAGTTTGTTAGTAAATATGGTTAAAAGCATTATTATGCCTACTTTTATGTTAATAAAGTTGCATAAGCTGACTGAATTTACTTTTACTCAACTTTCATAACAACATACATAAATAACTGATAAACAGTTATGTACATTTATCATGATACACGCATAAACAGTGTCACTCTGTATGTTTCATAATGCAGTACTCACCTTTCTGATCAGCAAAATGTCGAGAAGATTTATGCATTGTTTTTTGTGTTTCGGTAACTTCCTTCTCCAAAGCCTCAGGATCAATTGTAGTCAGAGGATTTTGTGTCCAGCTTTCATACCACTAACAGAATAAACAATTCTACAAGCTTTGAAACATCTGTTTTATATTAAATACATAAAATACACTGCATATTATTTTTTTGCACTTTAATTATGATTTCTAAGACATAAATAACAAAGAAAATTCAATTTTGTGTTAAGAATAATATGAATAACGTGCTTTTTTAAACTTAATTTAATCTTTAGTATATTTTACTATAGCCAGTGATATCAACAATAACATATCCCTTGTTAAAACAGAATCACATTTTGACATGTAGTATAGTAACATAACACATTATTATATATCTATTTTATCATAAATTATATCTAATAATGTTATTTTACTTCTAAGAGTACTGAAATATTAACAATTAAGTTTTAATGTATATGAATTTTAATGAATAAATTATTAATATCCCAAATTAAGAAAATATTACAATAATTTTCCTGAAAAGAAAATACTATTCACATACTTTTTCGATGACGAGGAACCCCCTTTGAGAGATGGCTTGAATCAGGTACTTCCTGATGATGACAAAACCTTGTCGAAACTTTGTACATTTGCTGTTATGTTAAACTTATATTAAAGTTTTTCTTCATTACCCATTCAAGCCATCTCCAATCATTACTATTCACATACCTTATGCAATTAAATAAATGGTGATTTAAAACTCATATTATGAAACAGTAGAATTAAATAATATGCTCATATCTGAAGTACTAATTTGCTAAAATTCTAAGTCTAATAAAACTATTATAGATTACATATAACTTGAAATAACAAGCATTAAATATGCTTTATAGAATCATGTATAAATATAATGACAAAATAGTTCACTTCATAAAAAAAGCAGTAAAATACTTTTTCTGATTTCTTAAACAAGATTAATGTTAACAAAGAAGTTAAAATAAACACACCTTTATCCAATCTGCTACAGCAATCCACAAATTATGATAAGGTTCAAAATCTTTTGCAATATTTAGTAGTTGATCATAGTTTGTTAGTGGAATTTCAAATAGCTGTTCTCGACTGTTGTAGAGTTGAGCTTGCTCCTGGCTTTCACGAATTTGTTTCTGTAGTCTTCGAATCTCATTTGCTACCTCAGGTGCTCTGTTTATATCTGTATGAGAGGATAACCCAGCTACCCACATCTGAAAAACACATATAGTTGTCCTAACTTATAAATATGTACTGTGCACACAAACAGCAAAGTATATGATACAAGTTGCAACATATCCAGTGCAACAATAAATGAAAAATAAAACATGCCAATTGACACAGGCAATTTAATCAGTTACATCTGAGAAGTGATTTCAACAATTAATGTCATGTAAACTAATCAATTAATCAAAATTACAATTAAATTAATTAATCAAAACTATGATTAAGTTAGTTTTCACAGAAATAGTCAACAAATCAAATTGAGTATTTCCAATTGTTATTGTTTTTGATTATTCCAACAATCAGTTATTCAAAATTATAAATAAATAAGCAGTCACAAAAATAACAAACTAATCAAAATTAGGATTTCTGACTATTACTATTTTTGATCATTTCAATTATCCAAGTAATCAAAATATTGCTATTATGTTTGTTTGTTATTAATCACAAAACTACATAACGGGCTATCTATGCTCTGCCCAATTTTAGCCTCCAAAGTTGTTTTTTTACTTCAAGTTTGATCAGTTTGAATTGGGGGGAGGAGGCAAAGCTGCTAAGGGTATCTGCCATTGTCTCGAATTTTGAACTGCTTACTAGAGGGAAGGTAACTATCTAGTTACTAACTAGTGAAGGGCTAAAATCCCATCAGAGCATGGAAAGTGAAGAATTATGGTTAGAATAAAGGCAACAAGGCAATGGTTTGGAATGTATAAAGAAATTCTAGAGGATCAAGATATCTCCATTACTTTGATGAAAAAGATCATGGATCAGTATGTACTATCAACCTTAACATATGGTAAAAGAGAAGATGGAGGGCCAATATAGTGACAGAAGCAGGAATCAGATGGACATCGTATGCTAAGAATAGGAAATACTGGACTGGTCTGACGGACAGCTACAAGGGATAACTGCAGCTTAGATAGATAGATAGAACTATCTGGCAGCTACTTTCACCAATATGTGTCTTCCTTTTTGAACTGTTTGCATGCATCATAGTAACAGGAGAACTGTACTAACTGATTAATTGAATGTAATTAATTAATGGAGCCATCAATTATTCAACTAGCAAATACCACTAACTGCTCATCTCTAATTAGAAAATGAAGCCAAATTCAAAATCTTTGTCAGTAATTCATGGACATATTTCACAAGTTTTAGCTGCTATACTGAACTACAAATTATTCATTATTTGATGAAAAGCTAACAAATAATCAGCATTCAAAAAAAAACTTTAATTATAATTTTAGAAAATCCCAATAATTATATTAAAAGATATTAAAGTTGAATTATCATTAAAAAGTTATATTTATTTTGTTATAAATAAAGTTATTATCAACCTATGTAATAAAAGAATGCAATATCGTGTGCAGCAATTAGTGAAAAAATCACAGTAAACAGAACAAACCGTCGAAGTTAGTTTCTCTCATATCAGACTTCTGACAGTTTGTTCTGTTTACTGTGGTTTTTATCACTAACCTATATATTATATATATATGTATAAAGAATAAATTTACAAAATTATAAAATACGATGTTATTCTAATAAATTCTAAGAATTATGTGCAAATATAAAATCAATAAAACTTTTTGTAAACATTATGCTGAACAAAAATAATCAAATTAATGTGAAATATTCATTTCGTGATTATATCACTGACCTTTATATTATCAATATTGAGAGTGAGAACCAACTGAAAAATTTCTGTATTTCGTAGAACAGTTTAGTATTTAAGGACTTCTTCTGAAATTAATGTTAATTTTCTTATTATTGTACTTTCATTTAGCTCTTCTCTATACACAAAACATCTATGTTTGTTTTTATTCTTAAAAGTTACATAGGAAAAGTTCTAAATAATTGCCCACAATGACTAATTTTAAGAGGCAAGTCATAAAAAAGCTTTATGTGTGTAGTATAAATCACAAAAGTGGTACTACATGGAACTTTTAGTGTCATAACAAATCCTTTCAATATGAACATTTATGTTATAAATAATATTTTTTCTCAGTCTTTTACTCAATGTAGTGTTAAGTTTCTATAAACATTATGTAAAAAATATAATCTTCCATAGCACTTTTTTTTACCATAAGGTTATCCAAACGATTATTCAACTCTATTTGATCTTGTTGCTGAAGTTTAAGAAATTTCTCTCTGTCTTCATCAAGATGTTTATATGAATTTTCCATCTGTATCACAATTTTCTGTGGCCATGCAATCATTGTCCATCTCATAAAATGAAAACAAATATTAATATACAAAAATTGAAAATGTCATAAATAATATTAAATCTGCAACTAACATGTAAAAAGCATCGATATGTAAACATACTATGATTTTATTTATAAATACGTAACTAAGGCCTATGGTAGTACATATAAATCCACCTTTGTAACCTGTAATTATATAAGAACTACAACAGACATACACAAGTACACATCACGATTGAGATCATAAAGGATGATTGTTTATAATCCACCATAACTTGTCATCACTGATCTGAGTTTGTGGCTTGAATATGTGGAGATTCTTCAACATAAAACTGAAAGTGGATATTATTTTAATATATGCATTCAACCTTACCTTCATGGTAACTATTCTTTGTTCAAGAGAAAACAAGTTCAGGGATCTTAACCCATCCTCATATGATAACATTTTCATTCCAGGCATCGTCCTAGTAGCCCTCCTCTGAAACCCTTTTCAACAATTCAATGTCCTTTTTGAAGTATGAAGCCCAAGACTGAACATAATACTCCAAATGTGGCCTAACCAATGACCTATACAATGACATTATAACCTCTCTAGACTTGTATTTAATATTAGATACAACCTAAAATCCTATTTGCCCTGCCACTAGCAATAGCAAATTGTGTGGATGATTTAAAAAAGCTTTATTGATTGCTAGAATGATTTTTTAGTTTCACTGTAAATATAAAGTGTGCTCTGATTGGAAGTTAATATCAATACTTAAAACATTTTATGCTTTTAATTATTTCTGCAAATGCAAAAAGTGCAGCAATGCTTAGTATTTCTATTTTGACCATTATAGCCTGTTCATAATATTCAAACTAAGATTTGTTTGCTATTAAGCACAAAGTCACACAAGGGGCTATCTGTGTTATTTCCATCTCTGGTATCAAAACACAATATTTAGCATTAAAAGCCTTCAGATTTACTGACAAGCCACAGAGGGGCCCAAACTAACGTGTTCTTAATAAAAGGTATTATATACACCTGGAAAAAAGTTAAGCACCCCCAAATATTTTTCAGGATTGCTTATTGAAAATAAGGTTTAATTTTCATGATGTTG